GCTTTATACAGTGAGATTACATGTACACAACTGAATGAACTAAATTTCAATCCTATTATTTCCAAAGGTTCGTGTGCACTCATTAGACAAAAAGCATTCAGTGGCCATTAAAGGGATTGGAATTGGAAAAGCTACTATTTTATGTCATGTGCAAAATGAGACCAATCCAGACAGCCATTTTAGGTATGTTGACTATCTGCGTCAAATAAATGGTGACATTCATTCTTTTTAAATTTCCCTTTGTTCAGATAATCAATTGCATGTTTTGAATTTCTTTCTTGATTTTAGTTTGGACATAAGAGTGGTGCACTCCATGCCTCTGTATATAATCAACCAAGTGATTGGCTGGTTGTATTTTGTGGCATGGTCCATTTCATTTTACCCTCAGGTATTGAAGATTGCAATATTATATCATAAAGTTATTGGTTAGGACTTCAGTTATTTATTATGGATAACTGGGGAGTCTTAGTTTAAAGAAACCTTTTGAATTTGTAATAAAACTGTTGTTTGAAAGTCTAGGCTTGGAAAGATATTTGTCTGGAAAGTGTAGAACAGAAATACATATGTATGCTCTGGCCAATTATTCCTGAAAGAATTATTGCTTTTTTGCAGGCTTTTCTCAACTGGAAGAGGAAAAGGTAACTTTTATATATAGCCATATATCCCTTTCACTTCCAAGATCTTGCAAGCAATTCTTTTTATACTGTCTGCCATATATTTCTTCTAGTATTAATTCTGAGGAATTATTGTTGGATCAATGAATATTCCCATAGTTGATATTCTTCTTTCTTCTTTTCACAAATTGTCTGCTTGATAATGAATTGATATTGTAAGGAGAAATGATGTCCAAGTCACTGATGGTAATGAAAGGGTTCAAGATAATTATCATGGAGCAATCAAGATCACAGATAAAGAAAACTTTGCCAGTTCCCAGGGAGTAGCATGAAAAGGGCATAACCCCTTTGTGATTCCTCATAAATAGAAAAAAATCAAATATTCCTTCTACTTATACAAGTTATCAGAAATGTTTGGTAAGGCAAAAGTGTTGAACTCTCTTTTGGTTATATTTCCAGCTGAGCTTTTTAATTGACTTTTTTAAACCTTTAAACTCCCGTGATTGATGGCTAGACAGAATTTCTCCTTACAACATCAATCCATTATTGAGCTCATAAGGAATGAAAATAAAGAAAAAAATCAATTATGGAACTATTATCTAATACTGAAATTGTATTGCAGAGAGTAAATTTCTAATTGTCTATAGTGAAAGTGAGACTAGGATTAAATTTCTGGAACAAGTTATGAGACAGTGCAGTGTGTGTAACAAGAATTAGGAAGGAATGGCCTGTTTGAGTTGTAGAATCGACTTTGGACAAAAAAAAAATGTTTGGTAATGTAATCTAATGTTAATTTTTTTCAGTGTGATAGGTCTCAATTTTGACTTTTTGGCCTACAACCTCACAGGATTTGTAGCCTATGGTTTATTTAACGTAGGCATGTTTTGGGTGCATGAGGTTCAGGTTAGTACAGAATGGTTTGGTTTGTTTGAATTGGGGGTAGGGGGTTGGATGGAGTAGGTATAGACAAGAAACTATAATAACATAAAGATGTCAAAACCTTTTAAAAAACTAGTGTGGAAAACAATCAGTTTCATTGTTGTGGGGAGCACAAATTTTTAGAGAGAATTAAGTATTGAAATCTTGATATAATTGTCAGTCACAAAATATCTAACACTATAAGATAATTAAGGACCTGTTTCTGTGGAAGTGGGGAACCCCAGGTAGGTGAGGTAACCCACTTCACTATAATCTTTCAACCCCAGAATTCCCTGCGACCCCGCCCAAGCAGGTTACCCCATCTTGAGATGTTTACATGGCAAATTGTCTCCCTGGCTGACAGAGTTACGTAACCCAAAAGACAGAGCAACTCTCCATGGCAGATTACCACACTTATCGTGTAAACGTGTATGAACAAGCTAAAATATTAGACAGGTGGGTTACACCACCTAGGCATGCACAGGTTACCTCACCTACCTGGGATCCCTTACCTCCACCTGAACAAGCCCTGAAAGTTTGATGTTATTGGTATAAGTAACAACAAGATTGCAAGACAATAGTTCAATTAGTTGTTAACAAGAACAAAATAAAACTTAAGACAAAATGAAATTTTGACAGCCTATGCAAGCTATTTGTGTTACAACTTTGCTCCAGTGTTAAATGAAAAATGAGGAAAGCAGAAGAAATTCTCTCAAATTTACTTGGCAGGGATAATAAAAATAGTTGAAATTATAATTTCTCATCCTTCTCCCCCCTAGGAAAGATAATATTTACTCTCTGAAATCTTTCTATTTTTCAGCGTGAATATTTTGCAAAGCACCCTGGAGGAGTTAACCCAGTTCAACCCAATGATGTATTTTTTACTCTCCATGCCATTCTTCTTACTACTATAACAATTTTTCAATGTTTCTGTTACGAGGTAAGTATTTTGAACACTTTTTCTCTATATTTTATACTCTCTCAGTTTACAACTACAACCGTACGTCTGTGATTACAGAGAAACATTTTCAGCAACAAAACTGATTGAAGATATCGTATATTTTAAGTTCACAAAATTGAACTTGCAATTAGTATCAAACAACGGGCACAGTCCATGATACAGTTACTTTGACCCCTTAACACCCATGACTGTGACCAAGACAGAATCTCTCCTTAGAATTGATCCATACAGCATCAAGAAGACAAGTGATAAGAAGGAAGAAAAATATCAATAAAGGGATTGTTGTTTGATCCAATACCAAATTCTCCAAATTAATATCATAAGATTTGTATCGCAGACAGTAAGGAGAATTATCTTGAGAGTGGAAAGGGTTAAAGGTCCTTTGCTTGTTGATACTGTTCGTGACTAATAACCCAAGGAGCGCGACTGGGTGGGATTCTGATAATTTGTAATATTTTGCTAACAAACTCTTGCTTAATATACATTAA